AATGTTACGGCTGATCAGTGTATACTAAACTATAACAAGTTATGTTATACTAAATGATTCTATACTATACTACACTATAGTACTTTGAAAGCATAGCTTGGCAAGCTGCCAATAACTTCACACCTACTATTCATAGAAAGCACAGGAATGTCAGCTTTGGTTTTGTATACAAGGTCCATCAGTCAGACACCTGCCTTCCAGAAACCAGGTGGGGGTAATTAGCCAGATAACTTCTAAAATAGCATGAAGCAACTTCTCTAAAAGATTCTTAATAGCAATAATCAATACACCTAATATATTCAAGTTTAGTTTTACAAATTCAGCTTAAAAATATTAAAAACTATAGCCAAATGTTTTTCACAGGTGAGTGGACAATCCAGCTTACAAAAGCTTTGTAGTAAAGAACTATGCAAAACGAGCAGCAAGCTACTGAAAAATGTCGTTAAACTACTAGGTACTATGCTATTTTGTATATATTATATTGTAGTATAATGCGCTTTACTGCAGTTCTTTATTAAACTTTAACTATATAATATTCTATACTCTACTGTATTTTGGTATATGATAGTGTACTATATTACACTGTACTACATACATGTACATATACATATGTACTATAGCAATTCTTACTTGTAATGTCCCATGTTAAAACCTGCTGTCCTATTTCCACCCGAAACATTAACTTTTTCATTTTCATCTACCTTTTAACTGTATGTCATCATAATACAGAGCCGTCCTTGACTTTCTGCTGTGCAGCTCCTCCACTGGTATCTGCTTTCTCGCTCATTCTCATTACCAGTATCTGTTTGTCGTCTTAAATGCAGCAGAGACTGTAATCCCACCCAGTGCATTCCCACTAATCAGGGTCAGATTCAAGCCCCTTAAAGCCCTGATAAATCCTAACTCCAACTCGCTTTCTCCCCACGCCATCTTCTTCCTCCTTGAGATGTCCCAGTGACCCATGTGGCCACTTGTCCGTGCTGCGCAGGCTGTCCTACCAAATGCGCACCTGGTGCTGAATGGCAGAGGGAATTGTGGGAAAGGGCTGTCTGTCAAAAAGTGTGCCACACAGAGTCATGCAGGAGCACTGAGGATCATTAAACCTCTGATGAGGATTTCAGTCTGGTTGTCTCACTATCTGCAGCATGGGATTCATAGTCCAAGTCATATCATTCATTGCACATTTTGCACTTACAAATACATTCATTTCAAATGCAGTCCTCCATTTTGTTGGTGTTCAGTTATCTTGTGATTATATACACCGCGTTATGGCCATTTGCAGTTTATGTGTTTGTTTCTGACCAAAGCATCACACCAGCTGGGATAGATGGGGCCCATCATGGCCGATGCTGGGCTAATTTGTCGTGGGGTCCACATCGAGCAGCGGGTGAAATGTTCCTTTATGAAGCTAATGGCTGTGAAATGACTGAAGGGGCCTGGGGGGATTGGGGAGGCTGTCTGCGGAGTGCAGGGAGGGTCTGGGTGTTGTGGTCGTCAGGCCTGGCAGCAGGAGGAGTGTGCACATGCTGTGACCCCTCTGCCAGTCGGGGATGAGGAGCAACCAACAGTTCGCAAATCACTGCTCACATTAATGATTGAACTTTGATTGTCTTTATGGGACTGATAGAATGCACTAGTGATTTAATCTATAGTCACAGCTGTCACTTTTGGAAGGAAATGCTTTAATGATATACATTAAAATTCAGTTTTGTGACAACTAAAGCATGATTCATGTTTTAATTGGGATAAAAATAATAATACAAAAATAATACAACTGGGCCTGAAAGAAAACAACCAATCAGAGGCAAGAAAGATGGATGATTGTTGAGTCTCATTTATTGGGACCCTGGGATCTTCAAGCTTCCAACCCAAAGTGTCTTTCTAGCTTTCTCAGATCTGATTGGTTGTTTTCGTTCGGTAGATTCTTACAAATCCCATTAGGATCACTAGGAGGAGACAGGGGAACCAGATTTTTTCACAGATTATCTGTTTTATGTACTACTGTACTACTATAGTGAAAATCGTATGACAAAAAGTTATTTTTTATAAAAGTTACCTACTGCAGCTTTAATAGTCTACCCAATGCAACCCGCACTGAGGGAGTGACAGTTATTACCAAAACAAACAACTAATTTCTAAAAATAAAATGCAAACCACACAAATAATCACCTCACAGCCCCACTGTCACACAAAACTAACAACATTTAATACACACACACACACAGAGCCAATGTTAGTGACATGTGTATATTAATTATTATTATTATTATTATTATTATAATAATTAACCGCTTTCCTAATGAACAGTATACACAACAGCGGCAGCAGCAGCCAGAATAATATCAGATGGCACAGCGGCCTTAAAATAAGATCATTATTTCTACAGATAGGTCGGAACGGATTACAATGAGCACCAGGGGTCATTGATTAACATTCATCAGTGACCTGCTGTAGTTATTTATGGTCGACATTGTGAATTTTCCCAATAATTTGCTCAAACCTCAGTCAGATCAAGTATAAGAAGGCAAAATTTAGCGGGAAAGGGAGCCAATATAGGGCAAATGAATACACAGTTTGACTCGCTGGATGTCCATACAATCATACAGCTTACACAGTCAATCACACGTGACAATAAACTACAGTGTGCTAGCAGCAATGTGTGTCCTCTCCTTACTACAATAACCAACAGACACT